AAAGAAGCAAAACTGGTGCTCCTTCCCAAAGAGGGGAAAGCGGCCGACAGCCCTTCGAGCTACCGGCCCATATGCCTCCTGGACGAGGCGGGAAAAATGTTCGAGAGGATCATCACCACCCGCCTCGTCCGGAGCATCGAGGGGCCAAATGGCGGCGGCCTGAGCGACCGTCAGTATGGCTTCAGAGAGGGACGATCGACGGTGGACGCGATCAAGAGAGTAAGGTTCCTCTCTGAATCCATGGTGGAGGAGGGGAGGGTGGTATTGGCGATATCTCTGGACATCGCTAATGCCTTTAACTCCCTCCCCCACAATGAAACAAGGAGGGCTCTCGCAGAGCTGGAAATCCCCTGTTACCTGCAAAGGATAATAGGGGATTACTTAAGCGGGAGGGAGATTGTCTGTAGCGACAGAGACGAGGGAAGAGGCGGTGGAATGCCGACTGCGGCGTCCCACAGGGATCGGTACTTGGGCCGATCCTGTGGGACGTCGCATATGACAAAGTCCTTAGGACTGCCCTCCCCACTGGCTGCACAACTATATGCTACGCTGACGACACGTTGCTGCTGGCCAATGGGGAGGAATGGGAGCAAGCGGTGGAAACCGCGAACATCGCCATCGCCTGCGCAGTGCGCACTGGGCCTTCGCGTGTCGGCGGGGAAGACGGAGGCAATCTTCCTCCATAACGGCACGCGGGGGCCACCGCCGGCGGTGGCGATCAAAGTGGAGGACGTCCGCGTCCAGGTGGGGGCCAGTCTCAAGTACCTTGGCCTCCACCGCGACGGCACCTGGAGGTTTGAGGAGCACCTCCATAGGCTGACACCCAGGTTGGACGGTGCAGCGAACGCGCTATCGCGACTTATGCCCAACCTGGGTGGCCCGCGTGGGAGGGCACGAAGGCTCTATGCCAACGTGATAAACTCCATCGCGATGTACGGTGCCCCTATCTGGTCGGCCGCCCTTGCTAGAAATAGGAAGGCCATAGCGGTGCTGAACAAGACTCAGCGCCGCATGGCTATAAGGGCGGTCAGGGGGTACCGGACAATCTCCCACGCGGCGGCCACGTTGTTGGCCGGGATGCCCCCCATCCAGCTACTCGCGAAAGCGCGTGCGAGCGTCTACGAGCGAGTCGTAAGACTAAAAGATGGGGGGGGGGTCCCGGTGACTGCGAGGGTGAGGAGGCTCCTCGCCCTCCAGCTTAGGGGAAAGGTGAGGGAGGATTGGCGAAAGTGGCTCGAAGAGCCCAATCGAGCGGGCCGACGCACGGTCCAAGCAATCCTCCCTCACCTAGACGGCTGGATCGACCGGCCGTGGGCGCGGGCGTCCTACAGGACGACGCAGGTACTCACCGGGCACGGTTGCTTCGGTGAGTACCTGCAGAGGATCAGGAGGGATCCAACCCCGCAGTGCCAGCACTGCAGCGAGGAGAGGGACTCGGCGCAACACACGCTGGACAGTTGTCCAGCGTGGGCAGCAGAGCGCCGAGCCCTCACAGACGTGATAGGGGGAGACCTCTCGCTCCGGGCTGTCATCAAGGCAATCAGCGGGAGGAGTCTTGGGAGGCGTTCTCCTCCTTCTGCGAACACGTAATGTCGCAGAAGGAGGAGGCGGAGCGCGTAAGGAGAGGGGAGTGCGACCCCCCGCACGCGCAATGCGGAGGAGATGGAGGCCGGCGACCACGAGTTATCCGTCGCAGGCAGCCGGCTCACCTTAGAGCATGGTAGCTCAGAGGAGAGGGGAAGCTAGAAGCCCCCCTGGGGGGGCGGGGGATTCGTGGGACGGCTGGCCCCGCCCCGAGGGGCGGTGTCAGTACGCCTGCTACCTCCGCCCCTTCCCAGGGGATGGGCTGTGGACCTGGAGGAGGTCAGAGGGAAGAGTCTCCTGGGGAGCAGAGACAGGAGATCCCTGGGGGTGGGTCAGGGGCTGGGAAACCCCTGGCTCACCAGCCCCCCAGACAAGGGGGCGCGGCGAGGGCCCGGTGGCACCCTCGCCGCAGAGAAGTTCGAGGAGGAGGCCCTTATAAGGGCCAGACCTGGCAGTCAGCCAGGCCAAGATAGAATGCGGAAGAACTTAGTACGCACGGCGTGGGGGTCACCTGGAGTTATGCGTTGCTGTTCCCAGGTGACCCCAGTACAACGCGAAGGAGACCACCCCCGGTGGTTTTAGTGCGGTAGGCGTCTCCGTTGCACTACTGGCCAT